CCCTCCAAACGACATATGGACGCACTTTTCATCATTCAGAGGATGGTGCCAGTCCAACGACCACTGCTTGGCAGCGTCTACATCCATTTGGAGGGCGCTGGCATTGGAACTCCAGGATTTCAAGTCGTCCGCAAAAAGTAAACATGGACTCGCAAGAACGTCTGGGAGGTCGTTGACGTAGATCAGAAACAGGAGTGGTCCCAAGACGGAGCCTTGAGGAACTCCAATGGAGACCGGCGCTGGAGAGGAATAGGTTGAGCCTATTCTCACTCGGAATGACCTGTCTGATAGCAACGCCTTGATCCAGCGAAGGATTTTCCCTTGAATCCCGTAAGACTCGTAAGACGCATGATCATGCCAGACGGCATGCCACCCACAAGTTGGGAGTAAACATTATTATTATTGTTATTAAAGGTGGATATGCGGCACTCCCACATTACCTTTGAACACTTTCCTAGTGTATATTACACGATCCGCAGATTGAGTACAGATCACGAGTCAGAGCTTTTTACGTTGATGGGAACCTTCCATTCTAACGCGGAAATCCGTGATCATGTAAGACAACATTAGAAGATAACACTCGCAGACTATGACCCCAGAAACACGCGTAGCTGGCATCCTGATTGAGAATCGCGACTGTTTGTCCGTAGTGCGGTGTTCAGAAACTAGACTGCTAAAATTTCTAATTTCCTCAATGTATGAACTGAAATAAATGCTCAGCATGTATAGAGAAGTACTTGATTTGACCACGCAGTGTAATCGTGGATTGTGTTATCTGTTGCACGATGTAGTCATAGATTGTCACGGAAAAGGACGAAGTGTTTACTACAGTTTCACTGGAAATGAAACCGGCGAATCGTTTGAACAGATCCTTTGGCATTTTTGAAGAGCCTTGCCGGAGGTCAGTAGGGTTCAGATAGCTGTCTGCAACCGGCACGCGGCGCAGCTTGCCGCAATAAAGAGCATCTGCCATGGGTGCACATCCATTTACGCTCATTCCACGTAGTTAAGAATTTCACGGATTGTCTGAATAAAATATTGGTTGCTTCACTTGAGGACGAGGTATTTTGCTAGAGTGCCTGAGGGAACTAGTTAACGGCAGATCAGATGAAAGTTTCAATATATGTTTACCACAAATTCGTCATAAAAACGAAGAACTGTACTATTACCTTCAACAGAACTGGCTTCCTCAGACAAGCCAGTGGGCAGCTTTTGCCCGGAAGCATCATGTAAGCTGTAGGCAAGGTAAAAATCGCATGATAGAGGCTGTTAACCGTTACATCAAGAGTAACCTGTCACAATCTTCTTCACTGCTAGACTGTGCGAAAGCCATTTTGAAGCATAATGAGCGCTTACGAAATAAATACAGTGGCTCGCAGCTTGCTGACGGGAGAAGACAAAGTTCTCTCAGGAGACCGCCTTTTGAGCCTCTAAAACTGCCTGACGCCGTTCGTCCGAGATTAATTCTTATAAAACAACAATGTAACGGCCGAAGTCGTGGAAAGTGGCAGTGGTTGGCTAGGATTCTTAGACGAGTGCTTTGTGCTCCTAGATGAATTTTTAAAATTTACTTGTTCATTTAGCAAACAGTGGCTCATACCCTGTCGTCATATGGCGACGGCTTGCCAGGTTAAGCAGTGGAACCTGTCCGTGTACTTGAGCGCAAGTCGCTGGCTTACCCCGAATCTTGTAACAGAACCCACCGAAAACCAAGCTTCACCATCCACAGTAGAGTGCAGCGAGGTTCCGTTGAATAACGGTTCAAAGCTAGCCATAGGCCATAGGGCTGACTACAACTATTTGGAAGATTTCGTGTCTAGGCAGATAGTTTCAAGGCTGAAATAGCAAGGTTTAATAAATATACTGATGAACTAGCACGTAGTGGGGAGGAGCAGCAGGTACCTTTGCCCAGGTTCCCCGACCCCCAAATTAGGGCCCCCAATAGTAATCGACCCAGGCTACTGCTGCCAAAGCCTTCCATTGACAAGTCTGTTACTCCTTCAATTCGGAAACCCAAGTTCCGTAAACAAAAGCGTTCAGTTGCCGTCATGGGGAAAACACCACCGGCGAGGAC